TATATATTTCCAGGCCATTTTTTCTTTCCAACCCAAGAGAATGTCAGAAAGAAATGATGTGAAGGGTCTCCAGACTCTGTCTGCCTATCTATTTGTCTGTCCATCCATCCCTCTGTTTGTCCATCAGAGGCTCACTCTGAAAACTGAACAGAACGGGACTCAGTTGGAGGTGGGAGGAGAAGCCAGCAGAACAAAGATTGAGGATGACAATGGCCAGATTGAGCCACTTTCATTCCAGAAAACCTTCCGACATTCAAAAAAAAATGTCCCCAATTCATCCCTATGGGGATGCTTGTGGGCACCTGTTGATAAAAGAGTTGGAAAAAAAATCCAGAAGCCCGCTTTTGCCAACTTGTTATATTATATGTTAGATAAGTAATTCCATACTCAACTACAGAGAAAGCAGTTTCCAAAAGGGGATCAAATTTGGAAGGAGAACCAGTCTGCTAGTCATCAAAACAAGATAATATAGCAATGAAATAGTTGATGCAATTGCGATGTAATTGAAAAGAGAGTAATGAAAGGAAGTTCGATTACAGTATATAAATTCATGATTTCATCGATCAGGGTTGTACTGTATTTGCATAGGAATAATGCAAAGCAAAGAATATAACATTCTTTCTGTACATTAATAGCCAGTACTTTATAGTGAGCATAATGCATAGTGTGATGACGTGTTCTTTAACCTGAAAGACTTGATGGTCAGAAAAGATTTCCCTCCAACATCTTGCAATGTTGGGCCATTTCCAAAGATGCATGGCAATCACTGGCCACTATTATTTTCTTTCTTTTGTATAATTTATAAATTTGCATGAGTGTTTGACATCCATTTCACTAAATAGCACAGCCACAGAGGAAACACTTTCTAAGTGTATAAAAGTTGTTCATAAAGTTGGAAGGGTCGGTTTAGAAATGTTGAAACTGTTGCCTCCAAAAAGGTTGGGCTAAATTAGGAGGTCTATTCCCAGTGGATTCCTCCCATCCATCATAATCTGGAAGAAAAGGGTCCCTGGAGGAGCGTCAGTCTCAGCTGCTGCCCCCCTTTCTGAAATAGCAGTCCTCTGGAGGTCAGTTCACCCCTTACCATCTGAGTTTTCAGAAAACGATTAAGATTTGGCTGTTCCAGTATGCCATCTTGATTCCTCCTACAGGGAGCAGTGTCATTTGGTACTGGGAGTTAGCAGTGCCTGGGGATTTTTGTTATAGGTTTCTATATTTCTTATGCATATTGTTTTAATCCAAATACCGTATTGGGTATATATGCTGTTCAGAGTCTATTGTATGTAGAGCAATATATAAATCTGGAAAATCAAGCCAAATAAATAAAATATGGTGAAAAAAATATTTCTTTGGACTAAACACTTAGAGATGTGCTGGAAGTCTTTGAAGGAATATACTCTAAGTGGGTAATTTCAAAATTCATTCCAACAGAAAGCTCTTTCATTCTAGAAACATGATTTCACAATGGAACTGAATATGGGAAAGATAAGGGCTTTTCTGCACTGCAGCCCTACGCTGCTTGACCCCCATGTGTAAACCATCTAGAAATTAAGATGGCTTAAGAAATCCTCCCCAGAGTTCAATCTCTTCCTTCCTCCACTTTAGCCACAGTGACGGCTCTGTGTTCTCCCTGGACTGCTCTGACTATGGTCCCTGATATGGTGGATTCCCCTATTATTTTACTCTTTCCTCTCATGTCATTCACTTTCCTTTCTGTAGGCAGATTTTGAGCACATGTTGTTTTCATTGATAGACTATTGCATGAATCCCCTCCACTGACAAGCCAGTTTCTGATGCTGTTTTGCTGATAAATACAGAGACAGGAGAGGAATTGCTATCGCAGGAAAGAAATGAATTCATCTATCACTTTCTCAGTGCCATTTTACTGCAGAGTCGATCCCTAAAAACGAAGACATCAAAGGACATTCTCAAATAATGTCTGGCACTTTTGTCAAGTATTCTGTCAGTTCACTGGTTTGGGGGGGGGGGGGGAAAAAAGCTGAACATATTCAAACAAAAGTTGGCAATACAGCAGTAGCTATATAACAGACTTTCAGAACATGCCAAGATGCAACAAAGGAGAGGAAACATTCTAAGGATGGAGAAAAGCTGAAAAAAAATAATTTCTACCTTTTGCAGGCAAGCTCCCTAAAAGTTTCTTAAATAAACAAGGAATTATGGCATGTTTTCAAAGGCTGCGGCTCTTGGAAGTCTAAGGCAGGAAGGTCTTCCAAATAGAGGCCGTCCCAGTTGTTGGAAGAGATAAGCCACGTCCCTTCCATTGATCATATGGTGCCATTACACTGTTACAGTGGGGAGGGGAGATGTGGAATTATAAACAATTCTGATATATCTTTGCATTAGTAGTATTATAGATGCACTGTTTCAAGGCAGCAAATGCTGCTACATAAATGGCAGGATATTACTTGTGCTTCAAGGGTCATCTGTGCTCTCATTGAAGGGGATTCTTGGCTCAGACTGCCTCCCATCTCCCAGCATCCCACTGCCGCACTTTACTGGCATTTTTAAGTATAGAAGCTAACATGCAAAACTGTAGGCATTCCAGGATTTAAAGCCTGGAATTTTGGGGGGGGGGGTGCCACTATGGTGTGCAGAGAAAAATAAGGGGATGCGATTGATTGATTGATTGATTGATTGATTGATTGATTGATTGATTGAATATTTGTGCTCAGCTTCTGGCCAGAAAAGACAAGCTCTGATTGCTTAATTTTTTTTTAACTATAAAGTCACAAACATATAAATATGCTTATTGCCTTATTCTGCCTAACCTGGGCTTTCTTATTCCTACCTCAAGCTGTGCCTAAGAAGACTATTCTTCTCTTTTAAGTTAAACATAATCTAGAAGTTATGGAAGTCTCTTGGTTCTCAGCAAATTAACTATAACAGACTAGCACCATCTTGTGGTCTGGAAAGAACATTGCATGTATTTTTGTAAATCGTTTTTAAAAATAAAAGTGTATATCCTATGTTTTCTTTTTGAAATAAAGTTTGATTTTGTTGATCTCTTATGAGATTAATCTACCTCTCAAAATGGTAGGAGGAGAGGCTGAAAACCTAGATTCAAGTCTCTATGCTACAAGGTACGGGGGTTGCATTGTGGGAATCCTTTCCCTTTTTTTCATTTTAATCTTTTAATTCCTACAAAAGGCAGCACAGGTAGTGAGAGCCTCATGTTTCTCACACACTGGGATTAGGGAAAGGGTGCCAGATGAGGTGCCACTGAAAGATAGGTAGTGGCAGCAACTCTGTCACTACTTCAAAAGTCGGGGTATAGGTTTTGAAGTTCCAGAAAGTTTCTGGGAGGTGAAGGTTGGGAACTCCGGCCTCCTAGATTTTCACCACTACCACCACCACCCTTTGCCAAACCCACTCTTGATCTAACAAAACACATAAAACTTATTATCTCAAAAGAAGCTTTATTCTGTAAAATAGCAAGCCTTTGATCAGATCGTACTCTGGGTTCCCAACTGAACAGCACAAGCAGATAAAGAAGCTGATCAGCAGGTGATAAATTCTGTTGGTGGCACCATTAATTCACAGGTTACAAGTAACTGTCCAGTAATGCAGGTCTCTTCCACGGCAATGATTTCGCCAGCCATCCCTAGAGGAAGAAATAAAAAAAAGGGAAAAGAAAATACAGCCATGTGGAGATTAAAAAAAAAAAAAAGCAAGTGAGATGACAACAGAAGTAGACAGCTATAAAATGGCTCATGGTCTTTCCTCTATACTGTATAAACCTAGAGGGCTGCCCACCCATCCCTGAGTCAACCCTATTGAATCGCTTTCCTGCCTGTGTTTCAAATCACTGCCTGTCCCCTGACTTTCCTTTGAAGGAAATCCTGTCTCTCTCACATGGTCTAGGGATGAGATGAAGGCATCATGATGAGGACTCAGCAGAAAAAAGATGTTGCAGGGGCATGTTTGGGCCAGAACTGGGTGCAAGTGGGGAAAAGCTCATAGATTATTTCAGATGAGTGACTGGATGGCTGGGTGAAGGAAAAAGGCAAAGCTGATGAAAGGTAAATTCAATTCCTTACCAGGCTCCCAAACCTTCTGGACCTGCTACAGCTCTCTTGACACAAATTATGTCGTCGATAATCTCATCAGTCACCAAATCTAGTGAGTAAACAGGAAATAACTGTGGCATGGAATGGAAGGGGACATATTTTAACAAAGCAGCCATTATATCTAACAACTCTTCATACTGAGCTAGTCCACTTTCATTTTTTTTAGAAGGTTAGAATCCAAGCCTTCTCCACAAAGGGCTATGAAACCAGATGTGGATTGCTGTTCCCTGTAAGGAAGAAATACAAAAGAGGCTGAAAGTTAAACTCAAGAGTTAGAAAACTCCTTGATGCCAGGCTTCTTAATAAGGCTTTCTGTTAACAGTTTCAGAAAATCAGCCTCTTACAAAGAAAGAACCAATAGCAGAGGGTTGGAGCACTATAGCAACTACAAGAACTGCAGTGCAAAGGACGTATGAGATGCTAGAATTTGGGGACCTTTTCTAATGGGGAAAGGAAATTCTGTCCTGCTTAAACTGGAGATGCCCAGGACTGAAGGCGGGACTTTCAGTAAAGCAAAAAAATAGAACTCACATCTTCTTTAATTGGATAACAATTGCAGTAGAAAGACAGCATTGGTCAGGACAAGTAAAACATCCCGCTCCCTAAAACACCTTCTTGGGGACTTCAGAAACAATAAACCTTGCAGCTCAACCATAAAATGTTTAGAGAGCTAAGGAACATTGATAAAGCTGGAAAAAAGATGTGCTTTCAGACTTGCAACATTCTGTTATTGTAACCTTACAATAAAGCTAGTGTTAGTACTCACTAACCAAGTTAGTTGGCACTTCTTGTCTGGACTACCTGAAAGGGCTGACATCAGTCTGCAAGTCTCAAAGTACATCTTTCCCCCTCACCTTTACTGTCCAAGAAACTAAGGAGAGTCCCTTAGACATTTGCCACTCCCATCGCTTCTGTGGGCTAAGCTGACTCTTATCTGACCATTGCCTAGTCTGCTGCTCCTCTTCCTCCTCCTCCTGTCTCTCAAGGACATTCTCACAGACCATTACACTCTGGGAAGCAAGGCCAATATGAGATAAGCCCATAAAAAGCAACTCACTAAATGTAACTAAATTCATATTGTTTTTGAATCATTGTTTTTCTAATTCTACACCATTATCTTTGAAAATCCACCCCACATCTTGACCTCACTAACACATAAGATGCTGCTACCTCTAATTATCTGAAGCTCAAGCTCAGATACGTTGGTCACCTAATGCGAAGAGAGGACTCTTTGGAAAAGATCTTGATGCTGGGAAAGATGGAAGGCAAAAGGAGAAGAGGACGGCAAAAGATGAGATGGTTAGATAGCATCATTGAAGCAAT